GAAATTGTTGGGCGCTGTCAAAAGAATCGAATTTTGACGTATCTTAAGTGTAACTAAATGATTCAAATTGACATTATGCATCTTTACTTTTTAACATTTTTAATGATATCCTTAATACATCAATTTTTAACTATTGAATTAAATGTAGTAGTTTTCAGATTTTTATCGCGCATCGTCATTAATACATTTATGAAATATTTATCGCTGTTAGTGATTAATTGGCGTATATGTGCACGTAAACCGCAAAAAACTCACTTTTTGCGCGTAGCCTAGGCGGTCACGTCAAATACATTGTATCGTGATAGTATAACTTCCATTTTCGATCGGTTCGCCGTCGATTCTCAATATCGCTGTACGGACGGCTTAATGAAATTTTCGAGGGTTCCGGCTCTGCCATAAATTTCTATCGCCGACAGCGATCTCGTTCGCTGATACACAAAACCGGACAAAGTCGACGCGGAGTCGAGAGAGAATACCCGTAACTTCATTCTCGACTCATCGTAATTCAGCCCGCATGTACGACCCTATTTTCGTCGCAATGATTAAGATCGCCCGATTTATTCTATGGATTTATATCCGCGCGAAATGCAATCGTACGTCGCTCGGGGGGAAGCTTTTGAATGTTCTACGTGACTCGCGATTTCTATATACAATTCTTCGTACAATTCCTACAATTTGTCCTTAAATTTCTATCGCGCGACAAATCTCAAACATTACTTTATACATCAGTGCAACCTGCACGAACGTCATTGACTCGAAAATATGCACATTTTTTCACGAGCTGAAATCTATTTTCGATATCCTTATGAGAAGTAGCTCTCCTAGAAGCATTAGGAAAATGCAGTCTTATACATATCGCGAACTTACTCACTCGATCGTCCCCGCTTCCTCTCGGTCCTCATCGTAACCCTGCGTCGTCCAATTTCCATCGTTCGCGGTGATGCGAGAACTGTTCGAGCAAAAGCGACCGGGTAAATATCTTGCAGTGCCGGTAAACGAAATTGAATAAACATTTTTCAGCAAATAGAGCCGACAATGGTACGAATTTAAAAGTCGCTGAGACGAGCACAGGTGGTTCCCCTGTCGCTGGAAAAAGCGCTGAACGGAAAAATTGCATTTCACCCTCTCCCCCTCCTCCTCCCCCTCTTACCCCTCTTCTCGTCGCATTTCGTTTCTCCCTTGCACATTTTTCGCCCCGTCACTCCTCTCTCTCCCTTCCTCTTCTCATCTCTTCCTCTGGCCATCCCTCCTTTCCGCGTCGTGAAAACCACCCCCATAAAGCTATACCCTTCGTGGACGACGAAGCCGTCGGTGATGTAATCGACTTTTGTGCCGGTTATCCTTCGATTCTCGCTGTGAATTGGTTATAAATGCTAATGTACGAGCCAGCTGCGACGCAATCTCTGTGAAATAACGTTTCAACATGAGACGCGCAGTTTTAAATTTGACGAAATTCTAACGAAATTCCATGAAATTCTAGGAAATTCCATGAAGTGATGGCATATTCGGTATATCAAGCAAAATGTGGCAGAAACAATGCTACGGAACGTGTATATTCGAAGTTATTTTTGGTTTAATTTTTCCTCCGCATTATTCTTTTATATTATTAAATTTTATAATATTAATACATATATATATAGAAGCATTAAATTTAAATTTAAATTTTGCATATTACTAAGGATTTAATAAAACACTCTATTTAAATATCTGATCAATAAATGTTAACTTTATGAAAAAAAATCGAGGTTAATTCTCTCGAGACGCGCCTTTATCATCTTTAGAATAAAGGCGGCCGACGTTTGTTACGCGCCAGCGATCATGCAATCTTACAACGTCGTTCGCACGATGTACAAGCTTAAAGGGAATACCGATAATTATTAACAGTAAGTGGTAAATAAAAGTAGACAATTACGATAGAATATTAATGGTTTTACGAGAACGCTTGCGACGTCAGAAACGCAAGCTCGTAAATAAGTCGTAAAAAAGGGAGGAAGGTCTGCAAATCGAGACGAAAGAAGGAGAGATCAGATCCGATTTACGATCGGCGGCCTGGCTTGGCAGTTTGTTCCGCGGCGAGATCGTTTCTTCGCCGCAGAGAACCGGGAGCCGATCGAGCGCAACGATCGATCACGCCAAACGATAAATTAGCGTCGAGTTAGTATCCGACGTGCTTACTTCGACCGTGTTCGTGCGAATGTGATTGTCGAGAAGTGGTCTCGTTATAGAAGATAATGTATATTGTACATATTTAGACGGCTATGAATGCGAATGACCAGTAGAGGGTAAATTTTGGAGAGATATTCCACTATTATGCGAGCGAGCACACCGAATCTGACTTTCCCTCCGCTATTACTAAGCTCCATGACTGCGCTATTGTTATGACCGCTCGGGTTGAAATTAATCCCAGGATATATAATTAGAGAATCTTGTCTAATTACGGGGGGAAGATATTGTTTGCGTTAGTTGAAACAACACAATAAGATCCAATGTTATTTTACTATTTCAATATTAAAAATGTCGCGCTACATTTCTGTACCGCGGAACATCTACCGGCTTACGCATTATGCAAATCATTTTTCATGAAAGTTTCAAAGCCGGCCGTATCTCCTCCGAGCTGAGATCGAGTCTTAAATCACGGTGAAGAATAAAGAAGACGGTGTCGCGGGATCGGTTGATCTTGCTATGCATTTATGGATGTCGAACGTACGAAGAAAGCAATATTTTTCGCGCGGAATCCATCGTCGTTCCTCTCGATCCGCAGACTTCTATACCGGCAGCCCGTCTATCGCCCGTCTCTCGATTCGTCCGCCTCTTCTTTTTCTGTACTTCCCATAATGGTAGATTCTACCATGACCGTCGATTATTGTCCCCTCCGTTGGAAAGCTCCAGGTGACCGAGTGCAAGTACACAGGAAAACACGTAGCTCGAAAGTTTCCCGCGATTTCCCCCAGGGCCCTCAAATAATTCTACGTCGAAAGTCCTTCTGGAATTCAACCGTCTTTCTTAAGACGTCGAAACAGTCACGGACGAGCAATGCCGATGTCGGGATTCTCACAAATTCCGGCTGGGAATAAAATTCGTTCGAGTGCATTGAATTCTTCGATATTACGAAAGCATGAATGTCTCCGGTAAGAAAGTATGAGTGGCGTATAGATGATTCGTTGAATCGTTTCTGCACGGCAACCACTAAACAGTTATTGATTGAGACACGGGAGTTAATGATCAAGTATCTTAACGTTAATCACTTAACGTTCTTTCGAGGAAAGTAGGGTGAGTAATCGAATCTCTTTTTCTCCTTTCAGAGTCCAGCGAAGCAGGAAAGTGGCGACGTTCTTGAGCTTCAAGACAGACCCCGGAAGGACAACGCGCGATTTATTTACATGCGACGAACGCAAGCGCTCTCCCCGCTCTCGTGGCACATGAAAGACACAAGTAAATTACTAGTTCGACTTCGGGCGCACTAATCGGCTTTCCAACGTGCGGAAAGTCCAATTCTCTATAGAGACCGCTCGCAACTGCCCGACGGTGCATTAAAATGGCGCGGAAATTCGTCGAGGACGAAGAGATAAAATAAAGAAAAAGCTTCGCTAAAACATTCAGCGAGCGCGAACCGGCGCGCGGCGCGGCGCCCACGGACGTGCATCGGACTTGCTTATTACGGAAATCCAGTTTGTTGGAATGAGGCTTTGAAGTTTCTATCGCTTGCCGACGAACCGTGCTCCACCTTCTTCCGCTGCCATTCGTTTTTTGCACTCGGAGCCGAAGGAAAGATGGGAGAGCGGAAAACTGAGCGGCTTCGCATTCAGACGGTAAGGAGAAAGTTTAAGTGACTCATAGAGACTCTTTCGAAAATTTCCTCCGTGCCGTTTCTCTAAGTTTCTGTTTTCTCGGTGAAAGAGTGAGAAATACAGAGTAGAGAGAAAGAGAGGGAAAGAAGGGAGAACAGATTAGTAGCCACGGTTTCTCGAAGGCGTTATTTTTCATCCATTTTCCACGTACTGCGCGGTAATGCATTAGTCGGCACGAAGTAACACTTGTATATCGCGATTCGTTTACGAACTTAAATTAAGTCACATAACTTGAACCATTAATACCGCGTAAATTGATATCGACCTCACGAACGAACGCGCAATGAACAATGAGTAATTGTAATGTCATATCCTGACGTTTACTTCTCTTTTCTCATAAAAATTAAGCAAAGAGTTATTAATTAAGCAAAGTTTTATAAATTACTGCGTATTATTTCCCATTTTTCGTGACTTTACTAACTGCTACTACTTTACTAACTACTACTACTCTTACCAACTCCACTCTCTAAAGCTAATTGTAATAATGATGAAATATTAAAGCTAGAAAAAGCGAAATTTATAAACCGGTCTTTAAAAGATCTTCTTTGCAAGAAAATATTTTTATAATATTAGCCATCAGTGTCCGCAACAAAAGCGTTCTGAGAGGTAACTAATATCGTATAGAACATATTTCGGACATCGATTTTTCTCTATAGAATTCCAATCCACATTCCAGCCAGGACGATCCCGCTATGGAAAAATGACGGAAGTGTCCGCACTATGTACGATCGAACGTCCCTTTGCTGTCAGAAGATCCTTCCAGGACATCATTCAATCGAGCGATTTCGACCGGGCGTCGTAATAAGAAATCGACAGTGACGAAAATCAAAGTGACATCTGGCCGAATGACGCCGGCGAATTTGAGTGGTGGTCGAGGAAACGCGAAGAGAGATCCGTCCCCTAGATTATAGCTCGCGCGAAACTCCAGTCATGCGGCTGTGGCGATTGAGTCTACGAGATTCGAGGACGCGCGTACGAAGAAAACCCTATTATAAAACTCCATTCCTGCCGAGAGTATTGCTCTTTGTCATCGCGAAGTATGATAATCCGAGATAATTCTACGCACAATTGTGACGAACGAATGAACGTAAACAAACAGTGGACGAATTAGCGATCGCGCCTCGAAACATATAACAGAGTGTGAAACCTTTGACATGTCACGCGCGTCACGAAGCGCGAAATTATCACCGAAAGCCGATGAATCTTTCATCTTCGGCCGTTAATTCCATCGTCACTCGAAATATAAGTGGTGAATAGCAAATGCGTGCGTACGGCGACATATCCGGCGATAGGACTCGGTGATTCTGTAGATAGGACAAAAAGAAAGAGGATGGAGAAGGACAACGTTAGACATTATAGAGCTTACGAGGGCTTCAAGCCGGCGAACAACGGCAACACTTCGTCCCTGAAAAGATCAACGTCCGAACGCTCGAAGACACATTCGTCTCGCCAAGTGAGATGTTTGTGCTTCGGCGGGGTGCCTGATAAAGCCAGCCAGCACTCATTCCTGAAGGGGTTTATCATAAACCTCGGGATATGCGCCCTTCTCGTGGCCTATACCCTGCTGGGCAGTTTCATCTTCCTGGCCATCGAGAGCGGGACCATCGATGGCGTCGGCCTTCAACAAAGGACCCTCGCCACGACGATAGCCGGAAATCAGCATACCAAGAGAAACACCAGCGCTTTGATACAACAGGTAAGAAAAAATTGCTCTATACATTTTTACTGTATCTAGATTTTTTGTAGTAATTTTATTAATGGTAATTTAATAATTCTGTTATGTTTTTTTCAAAAAATATCGTTTAGTGTGAAGCGGAAAGATATTGGAACATATTTTTAAATCATGCACAATTTCTTTTCCAAGAAGTATCCTCATTATGCTCAAATGTAGCTGTAGATCATAGGCTCTAATAAGAAGTTATATAGCCACCTAACGAAGATGCATGACGAAATTGTTCTCGAGGCTCAAAAAGTCGTAGATATATTTCGTAATAACTATGTAGCATGTGTACGCGCTACGTACAAGCAAGTGCAATAACAGCAAGAATAACAGAAGGAGAGTAAACAGATTTGTTGATACTATGAGTGCATCACGGTTGTCGTTGCCGGTCGCGGACGTAAGCCACCAACTTGTTTTTGCTTTTCTTTCCCTTGAGGAGGAGCAAACAGTTCCGGCGGCACCAGTTTCTCGATTTATCGTCACGTCTCCGGTTTCATTCCGCTTTTCTACCTGAGGTGACCTCAGTGAACCCGAAGTCAATCGAATTATCGGTGCGTTCTGGCGCGAGCGCTCGTTTTCAACGAAGTTTTATCGATCGTGCTTCCTTTCCGCTATCCTTACGCTTTACAGGAAAAGCGTATTCCCCGAGGACATCGGCACAAAGGCTGCTGTCTGTTGCTTCCAGCCAATAATAGCGACGACGGATTGTTCTCTCGATAGCAATCGCTCATCGGCAAACGATTGAATATTCTTTTTATAAATAATTCGTCTGATTTTATCGTCTGATTTTATCCTGAAAAAAAAAACGGTTTTCTATTGCGTTTTATTAACTTGCCTTCTCTCTCTGTGCGAAGCTCCTGAATTTTACGGTATACGGTCCAATGATGAAGCAGTCACACAGAATTCACCATTTGTCATAAGATGTAATCCGCGAAACGTGCATTCATATCCGTCTGACGTGCGTTAATTAACGAGCGTACGCGAATTTAATTTAATCGACAGTATGTCAGTTATAATCCTAAGACGAACGTAGACGTAGTCCGCAGTACCTGACGATATTTCAAACGTCGCGTCGTCTAATTAATAACTTTTCGTGTGTGACGCAGGCCCGGACGAAGACCGTGGAGAACATATGGATAATCACGGAGCATTTGAACGTTCTCTACCGTGAGAACTGGACGAAATTGGCAGACCAGGAGATCGCGAAATTTCAGGAGCAACTAGTGAAAAGGATCACGGAGGACATGATGGCGACCCAGACTGCCGGGACGTATACCGGGAGTTCCAACAGCGAGACTGTAACGGAACGCCGTGTGCCGGAGTACGAATGGAACTTCGCGAAGGCGTTCCTCTATTCTCTGACAGTGCTCACCACAATCGGTAAGTTTTAGACGTAATTAATTAATTATAACGTCGCGCGCACCCATTTCGTCCGCGCTTCAGTGCGGCACCTCCTGCCGCATTCTTGTAAACGTAATGAGAGATTCCAGCGAACCAGGACTATGACAAAATGCGGTATGTATCAACTACAGAAATTATAGAAATTATAAATTGCGTGCCTGTACGTTGAATTCTTTAACACAATAATATATTTTAACTTTTTGCAAAAGAAATGTAATGTCTATCAAATTTAGAATTCGGTAATGAAAAACCTCCGGGATTTGATAAACTAATCTAAAAACTAATCTCGTTAACATAATAATAATACTGGAAATGTTAATTCGTAAATCGCAGTATATCTATGGCAATCGCAGTAATGACATGATAAACAATAGTATACAATCAGTATCAGCAAGCATACGCGTCGAAACTACAAAGTGCACAGATGATGTTTGCTTCTCTACTTGAACTTGTGCGATTTCCCGTCTGCGCAAGTACTGTATATATACATGTGTACGAAGGCATAAGTTTACAGGAAAGGAGTGCCGGCGTAGCAGAATATTTGTACGTAATTAGTAGACAGCGGGAAACAGAGACGAGCACCGGAAAGACATTGGCACACAGACAGATAAATTAGTTGAATCAAATACTACGTCAATTAGCTCGCAACGTTAGTAAGAGAAACAATGCTGACGTTAATAGCATTGATAATGTAGCTTGCAGTAGCTTACATTGACCAGTTCTTACAATTTATTTCAGTAGTTTGTAAACTGACTTTCTTACTTTAAACATTAGGATTCAGTATTTTTAGATAAAACATTAGCAAATTTAGTTTCTTCTCATTCGATCGCTTTTTCGTTATTTGTGGGGAAAAATACGTTCAAGAAGTTTTATTGAAATTTCGTAGAAACTTAATTACATTACAATTCACGTAAACCAAAAGAAATATTCCGTAATTAAATGAGCTCTCTTCGCTAAAGCAAAGTGGCTATGATCGACTATTATATTCCGCGATTTGAAATCATCGTTTACGAAACGAAAATAAAAAGACAAACATAATATAGCGAGCATCAATTTTTAAGATAAACAGAAGTCCGTCGTTAACGTGTAATGGCTGTGCGAATGCAAATATATTGTCCATCTCAAGACTATAGGTTTCCTTCATTCTTCAACAATTTTATTGCTTTCGACTTAGCGGCACTGGAAGCGAATGACGTCACGTCCAGTCGTTTACTCTAGTTATTACTGAAATAGATTGGTACTTCATGAATCGGTGGATATTTAAAAAAAGGAAGAAAGTAATGGTTGGGGATGTCAAGCGACTTATCGAATTATCGATACGATACATATTTATACCTTTTTTAATGCTTTTAACTACTTCGGTAGATTTCTCGAAATTGCCTTTGATATTACTGACACGTATACCATTTATCATGTTCGAGTTCATTTCTGATCATGATTTATTTATCTTACTTCACTTCACACAAGTGGTCCGTGAGAATAAATAATTTGAAAATAGTTTAATAAACATATTATAGATAAATATTAAATAAAATATATCTCTATATATTGTTACCGTAATTTTATTAACATCTTTTATAATACAGGATATAATTATAAAATAAGTTAGAATTTAGAATATTATATATCATTAAGTGCAATCTTAGCAGCACATTTTTAAAACAAAAATATCGTGTGGGAAACATTACATTTTTCAAGTATAAAAATTATCATTGAATATAGCATTTATTTTTATTCTATGTAGTTCCTCTGTGCTTGGTCTACTGAATGCACCATCCATTTCAAACTCCCTTTAATTTCACGCTTTGCGTGCACAGGTACAGAAAACTGAGAAAACATTCAATGACTACGGAACTCCACAGATACCCCTCTTTTACCAAGATGGTTTAATCATAATGCTACGCCACAGCCGGGTTCTCGGAAATTAATATTTCGTAACTCACATCGGCTCTCGTGTTTATAGGCGGAAGGCTATAGGCGATTGATCGTCGGCCACGAAATACGTAAAATCCCGTGGGTCGCGTGATGTAGCATTCGCAATTTTCGCCGACGATGTTATATAGAGCGGACGTAATACGCGCATCCGCACACGGAGATTTAATCGCGGCGTGGAACACGCGCGTGTCCCATGAATTTTAATATAAATTTTAGCGCGCGTGTTTTTCGTCTATCGTCTACGGCAAATAGGGCGTCGGCCACCGGGACCGCCCTCGTAATTACCGAGGAAGATCGGTTTTATAGTTATTACTATACGTAGGTAACTGGAAAATGATATTATTTCTGACATTAGAAGCGACGATTCATTCAATCTTGCTCGAGTGTCGACTGTCGAGGTGTTTCCTATCGTAATTTGTTGCACAACTGTGACCTCGCGCAACACTATACCGACGACTTCCTATATGCCACCATCGTCAGCAACAGGATCGATAATGGTACTGTTCCCAACAGGAAAACGGCATAGAAAATTAATCTGATCTGGCGAAGTTCGTTGCCATCTTGCCCTAAACTGACCATTTCTACTTCATCCGCGTTGCGTCATTCTAAATAAAACATTTGTCCTACTTGTCGTTCTTTTTTTTTTGCTCACAGACACGGACGTACGATTGCCTGTCGTTGGTATGGTTTCCTTTTTTCTTGATTTTTTCCACATCGTATAGCGGTTAATTACGGGAAGTATTCCGGTACTTTTTATCGGCTTGTCCGAGTACGAAAATATTGTTCAGCGAGTCAACTACGTCCCGGTAGTCAAAAAACTTCGTACCGGCATAATACTAAGCGGATGCTATCGTTCGTAACTTTCTGCGAGCAAAAAATAAGCAAACATATCAACCGGAGAAATGAGAGGGAAACTTTTTTGTCGCTATGTATATGTTTCTACGTATTCGACCACGAGCCGTAAAATCAACTCGAATGAAGTTTTAATTGGAGTACGTAAGCATTAAAATAAAGCTTTAGTGGATTAATTAACTTTTTTGTACGTTCCGCACAAAGCTAATTTTATCGCTATGTCTAATCTATTTACGCTTTAATTACCTACCTGCTATTAAATAAACTGCTTTTGAGATTAATTTGATGGAAAAAATTATGCCAGTGCAATTTCTAAATTTCATTTATACTTATTGACAAAAATAGATTTTGCTTGCAAAAAAAAAAAAACAGAATTTTTGGGCGCGTTCGCTTCCTCTTGGACGAGAGGAGTGGAAATTTTAGCAAAACAACGATGTTCTATTGAGAATGCGCAAACACATCATGGAGATGAGTAAACAACTCCCGGCTCCCGTGAACGGAACTGTCCTTTTTTAGAACAACACTTTCTCCCATCTATTCATTGCGTTTTGTCGGTTTATCATTTAAATTACGATTGAATTTTGATACGAAATTTTTCCCAACCTTTATCGTTCTTAAAGAATTGGACAAAGATTTAAAAGGATAGGCAGAAATAATATCATTGGCCATTGCCTCTTGAAAATTACATTAAAATAATTTAATAGAAGTTAAAATAAAACGCGCAACCAAAAAATTGCAAACGAGGAAGCAATTGTATACGTTACGTATTTCACGTTTCATCAGTTTTTTATGCCAATCACTGTGAAAACAGAAAATTGTTGTGATCATTATTAATTAAAACAATACGCCGTTACGTTTTAATATTTCGAAAATTACGCAAACATATTACAGTAAAAATTGATTAAATTTCGATCTTGCATTAAAATTGTATCACGTCTCCAAAATTTAGCGATGCGTGGAAAACTGATTTTTTAAAATAAATTTTTGCCAAATTATTAGTAGATATGTATTAATTTTATTTATTCTTTAACTGTGCTTTAATTACAAAGAATAATTTTATAAAAGCTTTCTTATGTAGACACAAATTAGGTCGCTATTATTATCGCTTTCAAGACTTTCTTGTTGTGTAATTGAGTTTACAAAATGAATGTTTATACAAATTCACAATATGTACGTATCGTTATGAAAAGAAACGACGAAATTATACAAAGAGCAAAAAGAATTACTTATTTTAAATTCACTTTAGTGAGATGCTCTCGAAGGGCAAAACTGCTTTGCGGAAGTAACAAACTTTGCGCAGACATTCAATGTTTTAGAGAACCTTAACTCCCTTTGATTTTATATTCTTCGAGTCTGCGTTAGACTGCCCGTAGGACTCCTCCGCTTTTCTATTTTATCCGCTGTACACCTCTCGCTGTACGACTCTATTCCTGCCTCAGTTGCGCATAATCCAGTTTACGTATCGCAAGAGACGAATCATCCGTTTGCATTTCACGATATGAGGTCGCATGAATATTTGGCCGTCTGCCTCTCCGCAGGCAAGAGTTACGTATTCAGAAAATAGTTCGAGCACCATCGCGGCTGGACGGGGACCAAGAAGTAACACGACTCTCCAGGAAACTGGACTATATCCTCTAAAGAGACTACTCGCTTCATCTACTTACGTATCCTAATCCGCGATATCCTCAATACGAATTTACATATAGCCGTCTCTCTAGCGCATCGCTTCCGCTTGACTTGCAACGATGCCTGTCATTTATGGCGAATCGATTCCTATTGTGAAAGCAGAACTACGATGTAGGAAAATGTGTTTGTCTACTTCAATTCGAATCTCTGTGAGAGGTATTTCCATTGATATGTTATTCGGATCAGCCGTACGAAATGAAATTTTAAGAGAAGATGAATTTTGAGATTGTACGTATCTTATACATAAACAGATACCACACGCAAAGAGGTATGCTAAAACATTTTTTTATTTTTTTTTCGAGATATACACTGGCTTAGCTGAAGCAATACAGATGTGCGTGTGGAGAGTTCCATTAATCATCTCGAATGATTACTCTCGCAGCGTTCACTGATGTTTTCACGCGCACACCACGAGAATCTATGTACTCATTGCGGTATACGAGACAGTAAGTTTCATTTCATAACACGATGCTCTCTGTGTTGCCAGTTTCATGCCACTATCTTTT